TTATTGTTATGTGCCATCAAATTGCCTGTGACTCATAGTGACCCTATACACAACAGCCCTAAATACTGTTCTATCCTGTGCCAATCTTATTGTCTCCAACACACCTATACTCATTACCACAGTCAACTGAATGAATCCACCTCCTCAAGGGTCTTCCTCTCCTGCACTGTCCCTCCACCTTCCCAAACATGACATCCCTCTCCAAGGACTGATGCCGCCTTGCAACATGTCCAAAGTATATCAGACAAAGCTTCAGAATCCTTGCCTCCAAGGAGCAGCCTGGCTTCACCCTCTTCAGGATGAACTTGTTTGTTCTCCTAGCAGCCCATGGTATATTCAACACTCTTCTCCAGCAACACAGTTCAAAGGCATCAATTCTCCTTCTAACATCCCTAGTCATTGTCCAGCTTTATTACGCATAGCAAGTAATTGCAAAAACCATGGCCTGTATCAGGCACACCTTAGTCTCCAGACTAACACTGTTACTCTACAGTACTTTGGAGAGGTCCTGACAGCAGACTTTTCAATGCAATTAATCTTTTAACTTCCTGGCTGCTGGTACCATGAGTGTGAGACTGGCTGAGGAAAATGTAGGATTCAGACTATTGTGCTCTGAGTTGCTACGAGTCAAAGGCGAGTCACCAGCACATACCAATAACAATCTTTGAGTTGGAACTGATCCATAGTCAATCCTCCAGTTGATTAACTAATCATGTGGGAGGAGGTTGCCTGTAGACTGTCCAGTGGGTTTTCTGAGGTAGTTAAGTCCACAGGAGACTTCTCATCTTTTTCTCATGGACCAGCTGGTGGATTTGAATTGCATACCTTTGGGTTACCAGTGCAAAGCCTTAGTACTAAGCAAACAGATATACTTTAGAAGAGAGTAGAATAGAACTGCCTCATTGGATTATGGAGGAACATTATTTAGGAACACTGACTGCCACCTCTTTCTACCCAACTAGCAGGTGGTATTAGAGGCAGGAACAAAAGAACTTATTTTTGTTGACTAGGACAGAAAAGGTTTTCTTTACCCCTTTTCTTTGTAGGAGTGCCACTGAAATGATTCTTTTAAGACCAGTAGATGTATATGCTTGGTCGACTGTTGTTGTTATGTACCTTAGAGTTATAACTAACTAAACCATCAGTTTTCTGAGGTTGTAAATTGCATGGGAAGATATTTCTCATCTTTCTCCCATGGAGAAGCTGGTGGATTCAAACTGCAAGTCTTTGCGTTGGCAGCGCAACCCTGCACTACAAAGCTATCAGGGTCTGGCAGACTATAGGAGGAGAATTGAAAAGAATTTCAAGTAATAACCAAAACCACTCAAATCTGGGGCCATGATCTGTGCTGTGCCACTTTGGGGGTTATATGCTGTCAAAGACCTTTCCAGTGTGTCGAAGAACAATGACGTCAGTCTAAATATCAAAGTCCATACCATGGTGTTTCCAATTGCTCACTACACATCTAAGAGCTGTACTATGACTAAGGAAGACGGAACATGAATTGCTGTCTTTGAGTTGTGATGCTAATTAAGAGTACTAAACATCCCATGGAATACCAAAAGAACAAACAAGTCCATCCTGGAGAAAGTTAAATCAGGTTGGTCCTTAGAGGCAAGGTTGGCGAAACTCTGTCCCATGTATTTCAGGCATGTTTTCAGGAGGAGTCTTAGAATAAAGACATCAAGCTTGGAAGAGCAGAAGGTTAGCATAAGAAATAAAAACCCTCAATAAGTAGAGTTGAGATAGAGATTGTGGCTATGATGCCAGATATGTTAGAAATGGTTAGGCTGGCTCAGGAAGGGGCAAAGTTCAGAGCCATTGTTCTTAGGGTTTCTATGAGTTGTAGTCAACTCGATGGCACATAAAAACAACAACTTTAAATCTGTACCTAAGCTACGTGACTTTTTTTTCTCTTAACCTTCATGTTGCTTCTCAAAAATGGCTACAACACCCCATTGAGGGTCTTCCTAAGAAAATGAAAGAGATTCTTCACAAAAGTCTTGGTTTAGTACCTAACACATGAGAATTTAGTTAGTATTAGGTGTGTATTCAGGGTATTAAAATAAGGTTGATAGGGACTGAAAAACAAAATTCTGTTTTAAGTTCTGTCTCACATACTTTGGGCATGTGGTCAAGAGGGACCAATTTTTGAAGAAAGACATCACTTGGAAGGGTGGAGAGACAGCACAGGAGAGGAAGATCCTAGATGGATTGATACAGTAAGTAGGGCAATGTGGGTAGGTGTGTTTGAGACAGTGGGACTGGTACCAACCATGGCAGGCTTCCAAGCTGTTGTACATAGGGTTGCTATGGGTTGCAGGTGACTCAACAGAACCTAACAACAGCGACAACTAGAATATAATGCAATTTGAATAACTGTTAACCTTCCCTATTTACCCCCCACCTTCAAGTTGAATCCAGCTTATGAGTTTCTGAGATAGTAATTCTTGATAGGATAAGACTGTCTTTATCCCATGAGGGCAACTGATGTATTTTAACTTCTAACCTTTTGGTTAACAACCTAACACATAACATATTCTTCCACCAAGACTGCATACCCTTAACTCCAAGCATGTACAAAGCAATTTTTCCTGAATAAGTCTGTTTTTGTAGTCCTTTGTGGTTGTTAGGTGCCGTTAGTCAACTCCAACTCAAAGTGACCCTATGTACAAAAGATTAAATCCTGCCTTTTTTTGCAATATTCTTGTAATCTTTGTTCACTTGCTTTCCCATCTGTGTTTAAAATTCACATCAACTGCTTTGCAAAACATCTCAGGTTTTCATACTATCTTGTTCTCTATGAAAACAAACTATTTTTTACTGTAAACAGTAGTTATAGTGTTCTTGCTAAACAACCTGGAGTTTATATATAGTTCCAGAACTTGCCCCCAAACGCCTTTCCACTTACTATATAATTTAGCCAACATACATGACCTCTCTGATGCTTAGTTTCTATCCTATAAAATAGGAATAAGAATATAATATATATATATATATATATATATATATATCTTCTAAAGTTGTTGAGTACTGAGCAAATTACTATATATAAAACAGAAGTGTGCAAGCAAACCTTTTAATAATTGTTAGCTTATGATGTTATTCTTCAACTTCATCTATGTTTCCTGTGGAAATAGACTCTTACCAAGTACGTTTCCTTTTCCTTCTGTGCAATATTGTTGTTGTATGTAGTCCAGTCAGAACCAACCCATAGCTGACCCTGCAGTGTTTTTTGAGGCAGTAAGTTGTATGGGAGGAGCTTGCCCTACCTTTTCCTGTACAGCAGCTGATGGATTTGAATCACATGCCTTTGGAAATGCAGCCCAACTTCTTATCACTGGGCCCCTAGAGCTCCCCATCATAGGTAAAGGATATTGTCCATGGATTTTCTGGATTCTTTCAACATTTTTGTTAAAATAAGTCTTCCATTAAGATGAATGCTTTTTCAAAGTTTTTATATCACACTGCTGAGTAAATCATACTTCTTAATATCTTCATATAGTTAAAATATTCTGTTTAAAATATTTCTAAATTTCTGTACAATAAAATTATAATGTGGTTTGAAAGTGCTATAATTTACCCTTGTTGGGTGTGATCTATGGTTCTTGTTAAACAACTCCATGCAATATGTACAAATTTACTAGAAATCCTCTTGCTGCTAAATGAGCCTTAGTTTTGCTGTTTAGTTAGGAAACTATTTTTATGTCTGAAAATCTACCTGCCTACTCTCAGAATGAGACTATGATCACATCAAATAACGGAAGATATTAATAGATATTCTTGCCTTCCTTAGTGATAATTAGAAAGGCAAACATCAGAGATAATTTTCAAAAGAGTAGCTGAAAGGTCTTCATCCCTTGATGTATATTTTCCCCTGTGCATTTTACGTACATATACATGTTAACACAGACAAAAATGTAACAACTCAAGCATGCACAAACTCCCATGGAGAAGCTGGTGGATTTGAACCACATGCTTTGAGATTGCAACACAGCTTCTTACCACTAGGCCACCAGAGCTCACTTTTGTGCATGCTCATGTGCTCACCCTTGCACAATCTATCTATATACACAGTTTATAAATTTATATCATTAATACATATATAGTAATCATACAGGAAATTATATGCTTTGTTATATATGGAAATGAATTGAAGTTTAATTTACTATACAAACCTTCAAAGCAATTTCAACTCATAAGTTTAAATCAACGTCTATTGTATGGTACCCATCTAACTGTTTTACACAATTACAACTGCAGAAGTAACATGGTGAATAATGCAACCCCTTAAGTAAAGAAGATTACCATGTCAAATCTGTAGTTTGTAAAATCAGATTATTACAACTACAACTATACACATTGCAATATAGAATATTAAAAGAACTAAGTTTATTTTGCTAGTTAGTAAGAATAAATATGAGATAACTCAAGTTTATAATTAGTTTACTTAGTACATATTCAAAGGAATAATTGTTTTTGTGCTATTACTAACTATGAAAATAACACCAATATTAAAAAATTATTGCTAAAATATTGATGTATATTTTTCCAGTGCAGTTATTATCTGTAGAATACTTACTTCTGCCTTATAGCACAAACTTTTCATAACGAATCACATTAAAAGGTCACATTAATAAAGATCTACTAGTATAGGTAAGGAAAATTTACTGATGCTTGAAGGCATTATACATAAAATATTAAATATGGTATAATGGTAATTTTGTACAGTCTATTAATGAAAATGGGAAGAGATTATTAATCTCCAGAGTGTTCAATTGAATTTTCAGTGGAAATTGATCAAGTTTCACCTGAGACGAAATACCCTATGGCTGTTATTGATCAAAAGTTTGTGGCATTGATTATAACTTATAGACAGAATACAGTATATATGAGAGAAATTATTTTAAAAGATTTCTTAAATGAAAACATTATACACTTGTTAGCTTAATAAAGGAAGTCTTTAAGGTACAAAGTTTTATTGTTTTTATGGAACATACCTGGCTAGACTGAAGGCATCGTCTATCAAACCTGCTCGGTTACTGACAGAGAGAACCTGTGAGGCCAACCAAAAAATAATTTTACTACTTAGAATTAATGACAAGAATTGACATATCAAAACAGATACCAGAAGATAAATCTGAGAATTTACCTCATGGTTCCTTATTAATTGTTCAATTAATAATCTCCAATTCCTTAAGTCATAGTTGACCCTAAAGTAGCCAGTTTGATTGATGTTTCCCAGCAACCAGGTTCCTTTGTCGAAAGAAGTTATTCTGTGATGCTCTAAAAACAACATTTTTTCCCAGAAAAAAATAGATCTAAGAGTTAAAACTGAATAAAATAGGTTTTCTTAAGTCCAAGTGTAACAATGCCGATAGTGAAAATACTATTCTAAATAATCAAAACCTACTCTTTAAACAAATTTACAAAGGATTTGCTAGAAAACTTGTAGCTTGTTATAATAATTATATATTGTTCTTGATAAATCCTATTGCCTATATTTTTTTAACATGAATGTAACCTAAAAAAATATTTTATAATATATAATTAGACTGCATTTATTAATGCAAATATGACTACAATAAAGGAAGGGTGAAAGCATATATTCTATTTATTCAGTAAGAAAGCCATTAAAACAACAGAAATAACTTATTTGAAAGTAACTGGTGTTCCTTGCCTTTTGCTTTTGCTTTCTTAGAAGTACAATGAATAATAGCCTTTTCAGCTTCATCAATAATGCTAGAATAGGGAACCTCATTTATTTAAGACTATATTTCTACATACAATTAGAAAAAAAGATAATAAGTACTGGTTATTGCAATCACTTTTTGAAATAGTAACTTGATTATGTTAACATCTAATTAAATGAAAACAATAAAATAATCTTAAAACTTCTTTGATACTTAATTCTTTTAAATATGTTTCAGAATGCTCTATTTACTTTCAAAGATTGCCTTTATTGACTTCACAAACCAAAAATCATATTTATAATGCTTTAGTGTTTTGTTGTTGATGTTTTGATAGTATACACCATTTGTCTCTTTTTCTCTTTATACATTGTATATAAAATATACACTATATATAATATATAAATATACACACAATATCTATATGCCACTCTATATATTAAATATATATGTATATTTCCATTTGTATGTAAGCTTATGTAAAGAAGCTTCAAATATCACCTTCATTTCTAAATGCAAAAATTGGATAAATATGGGATATAAAAGCAAAAATAACTGAAAATAGATATTTTAATTAATCAAGTATATTAAGATTGAAATAGAGGATATTGTTTTTAATGTGTAAACCTAGCTCTATTTCATATGTCTCTAAGCATACCATATTTTTTCTTGCAAAGAAATATTAAAATTATGACTGAATTAATTCAAAGAAAGAACAACTTTGATATTTTTTCCTAAGAAGGCTTTTAGTAATACAATTATCAAGTTTAATATATGAGCAAGTTACTTAATTTTTTATAGTTTTCAAATACTCATGATATTCTTGGATCTAGTTTTTAAATACATTTTATAGAAAAATTTAGAGATATATTAAAATTAAAATTAGTATGCATATGTTAGTGAACAATTGCTACCCCTATCATGTAGTTTGTTAGAATGAAAAAAAAAAAGAAAAAGACGGGTAACTTATTTTTTAAAAACGTGATTAAATTGGTAACTAAAGACTGAAGTAATCAATTACGAATCACACTCTTCTCCAGCAATCAATTACTGAAGTAATCAATTATTACTAGCCACAAATTTTTTTATACTTGACATAAAATACTTGGTATAAATGAGAACTTTATTGAAATAATCCCTTGTATGATAACATGATAGATTCTTAAATATCTTTCAGTTATGTTAAATTAAAAATCTTGAAATAGTCTTCAAATTAACAATAACAGGCAATGAGTTTTAAAACGATATTTCCAATGATGAGGTACAGTGCTTGACGATACTACAGTAAAAAGTAGGGAAGCTATCTTTTGAAAGGTGGAGATACTAATAAAAATTTATATTTATAATATTCCCAAATTAGTACAAAGTAGACCATATCAAAGTACCATGCAGTTGGCAATTAGAAAAAAAAATTTGCTCCTACAATTTCTTTGGTGGCTTAGTGGTGAGGAATTGTACTGCCAACAAAATAATACAAAATAGTACAGGATAAATTCACTAGCTGCTACATGGGAATTATTAAGTGCTGTCAAGTGGAGAAATGAGCAGTCTCCTCCCATGTGATTTACTGCTTCTAAAAGCTGAAGGAGCGTCAGGTATGGGGTGGCTCCAACTTGACTGTACAGCACAATCACAACAGTAGGGTTCCTTAACAAACAAGCTGAGAAGCCAAAACAGAAAAATGGCTTTTTTAGCTCACTACAGAAATATAAATCTGAAATGAAAGAAAACATACTATCAGGACAACAAAGTAATAATGTGAGGAAAAAATTCACATATTTGTCCCCCTCCCTGGAATCTGAGAAGAATTTACAAAACTAATATTCTGCAATAATCAAATATTCTGGTATCATCTAGGAAGAGTGCAAATGTCCATTACAGAAAAAAAAAAGACCAAAATGCATGTCAGAAGAAACTCTGAATATTGCATTGGAGCACAGAGAAGCCAAAGCACAAGGAAGAATTCAAGATACTAAAGAGCTAAAAAAAAAA